ATATAGTAATAATCGTTATTAACTTTAATTAAAACAAATTAATACGTTAAGCGATTATATGTATATCTTTTTACATTTGTTATATTCCTTAAAATGTAGTTAATTAATGTTGTCCTTTTTTAATTAGCCATTACAACAATACTACAGTTAACAAAAACAACCATGCTGAAAATTACACGTAGTTAGCAGTTTTAGCTATAATAATAATAACAACAGACAACTAGTACTTAAGATATACTGCTCACAAAATTAATTTTGTAATATAATGAAGACAAACTACAAAAAAAAAAATAATATCATACGAAAAGACAGAACAACAAACACGTAAAAACTGCAAAGCTTATTTGTTAGCAAATATCTAATTCAGATTAATGAAAAAATTTCGAAAATGTTTATTAAATTAATAAAAATAATAAGATATAAATGCTAAACGGAATAAAAAATATTTTTTACTTACACATACGGAACTTTCATGTTTTAAAAATGTAAACAAGAAAAAAGTTACAGGTTTAATTTCAATGAATAAAAAAGATAAAGTAAAAACGAAACCCGAAGTACTTTTAATTTAATAAAACCTCACAAAATCGTTTAGAAAACCCGGTAAAAAATGCTTTTTTTTTTTATTAATTCGATGACGTTCGCGCCCCGCCCAGTCTGAGCGAGGTGACACGCGTGCATACCTTGAAACAAAGAATGTTGGGCATGCAAAGCGTCGAACCGCCGCTTACCTCAGGGCTTCGTGCCAGTGGACTCTGGCTCAGCGACGTTTCTATTTCTGTCAACAGAAAAAACAAAAAAAAACAAGCGTCAGTTGACTCACATCGATTATTACTACTGCAGTTCAATAATAGGTAATTGGGGCAGAAAAAACATACACACAAAAAACAAATCAAAACATAAATTAAGACAATCATTAGACATATTTTACGTTACCAATAAAACACATGTATCATGTATTAGGCCTAATCTCTTAAATTCCAATTACTCTCTGTTAGAGGCTTATTATTTCCTACATAAAAGAATAAAGGTCAATAATATTTTGTTTCGAAAGCCAATAACAGTCCTAAGTGAATGACTAAATTTCATGTTTTTACAATTTAATATGTATTTTATTTCTTTTTTTTTACCTGGCTCAGGATCCAAAGTCCCGTTGACGATTTCGGTACAAGGCACAGGCAATTCGTAGGCATAGAGCTCGGTAGCAGTTCCGGGATTTATTCGGGCGTCATCGGCGAGCACCGTTTTGATTTGGGAAGATGCCACTTCGGCCAGCATTAGTCTGTCGCCCGGTATGTCGCACAGTTGCTCCAGTTGATGCTTCAGTTCCAAGTATTTTGCTTCTGAGTTCAATCGCAGGCCATATTTGACAGGCATTTCGCCATTTAAGCGGATAACTGAAAATAAATAGAAATTTTAAATAAATATACATATCTACAATATAACGATCAAGAACTTAAACGTTTTTATATACAAAATTACCTAAAATTTCGCAAAGAGTGTAACTCTCCATGGGTAGAGGCAGACTGAGGAGGTTGAAGGCGTCGAAACGTACTGACTCATTACCGCAAGTTTGACAGGTGACCTATGATGATAAATTGATTAATAAAAGAAAGTTTATGTTTATTTTCATTTTTAATAATTACCTTGCTTTTAAGTTGCCCATAAAACAGATCGGTGATGATAGAATGGTCTCGCGCAAGATGTTGTTGCCAAGCCTCGTCGGCCACGATGGCGTCGGGACGACCGTCAGAGTCCCTGAGTTCTGTGTACTGCTTCCTTGTCACCCTGTTCAAGTCCTCGTGCAGGGCGTCGAGTAACCACGCCAGAAGTTCCTAACAAAAGGGTGATATTAAAACAAACATTTTATATTTAAAAAATGATTGATTTACTTGTGAATCATGCTGTCCACCGCCGCTCAAATGAGGAGCGTGTTTCGTTACGCAACATCGTAGTCCTATAGGCGCAACGCTTCTGGTCGACCCAGCCCAAAGCTCTCTACACAACTCCGCATACTTCCTAGCCACCTGTCCCTTTGTCCCCAACGGATTTGAAGTATTCAATTCGCACAGCTGCATGTCACGTTTAAAGTACAACGTTAGCGGTCTAGTATTGGAAACAGCCTGTAGGGCTGAATTCATGAAACAGGTGTTGCCGAGATTATGAAGTCCTGTTGCCCCGGGCGGCAGAGCCACAGTGGGTCGTCGGTCACGGTACGAACCTCCTACGTTACCAGAAGCGAGAGCACCAAGCTCTTCGGGCCAAGTAAGGTCTTTGTTTCTTTTCTCGAGTAGAATTTGATCATTGTCTTGGACTCCTAACTCTTGCAATGTAGAGTTTTCGTCCTCCAGAGGGATCGCAGTGTCCCTGACGTACCAAAGACGAACGTCTTCAACCCGGAATCCCAGACGGGATGACAGGAATTCAATCACTTGACGAACGGTCGCGAGCCTGCTGAAGGCGGCTGTGTGAGCTAGGTAACGTCGTGGGGCCATCACTGGAGACGCCGAAATACCTGCTGAGTTTAAACCAGAAGCTCCATACCTGAAATAATGGAAAAATTATATTGTCAATATGGTAGCATGTTATCTATTCATTTTGAGGGAACTTACCCTCCCACAACACTGTTCCAAGAGGCTGTAGAGTTTAGTTGTTGACTTTGGTGCCGTAATATCCTCAAATTTAAGGGGTAAAGTTCTAGTTCGACTTCCGTGCTCCCAGGAGGCTTGATAACTTGCCTGGGAAGGGGTAAGGGACCGCCATACCAGAGAGCTAAGGCCTTCCATAACGAGTCCGGTACCAATTCAAAGTCTCTATGTTGAACCAGAGGAGTATCTTTCTTTAATCGACCACCTACGGATGAAAACTATAAATAAGCAAACAGATATAAATGTACTAAGGACTAGCCTTCTCCTGTAAGCGTCCCAGCTCGAATAACGGGTTCTGCAACAAGGTTTGTATTATCAATGGGGCCCGGGCTGTTTTGTTGACGTTTTGAGCCGTTTCCTGAACTGCTGGATACCCCTGAACTTGATGCTATACTACAACTAAAACCACAGGATTTTCCAATGGATTCTTCATAATTACAAAAAAAAATCTACCTGTCTCCACGACTCAGGAGGTCACCCATCGAGTCCGTGCTATTGGAGGTCAGCTCATTAGAGTGAGAGGATGTGTAATCCGTGCTGCTGAAGCTCTCATCGCAAACGATGCCCTCTTCTATCGCTATCCTGCTATTGTCTGCTTTGCAATTGCAATGATCGTAGCTGGTCTTCGATGCCGTGGTATAGTTAAGCCAGGATTGCCACCAATCCGATGACACCAAGTACCAGAACTGTCCAACATGGTAGCCTCTGCTTTCTTCTCTCGACAACCATCCCATAACTAACACAAAAAAAACAATACTTATTATTACGTTTTATCGTTATTGATTTATTTATTTTACCAATGTCATATTCGTGATGTCGACAGTGGGGTTTCAGGCCTAGGCACACGTGTCCCACTTCAAATAGGAGTTCCAGCAGTGGAGATATGAAAGGATTATTGTCCACTCCCCAAATGAGAAACTCTTCTTGATTTAAATGACCTCGTTCGTCCAGTCGTGCTTTCAGACCATGCAAGGACTTTATGTGAGATTCGTCGAGGGTCTGTTGAGCGTATGCCATCGAATTATCGATCAGCATTAGCCCAATTTCTTTTTCCTTCATGTCTTCGTTTGTTCTGGCGTCAGGAGGCAGTTTAACAATATCAGTTATGAGACAATCTTTCCTTCCCTTTGTCTCACTGTCGTTCTCTTTCAATTTTTCATTGCTAGATTTGATCACAAAACTAGCACGATTATGGGAACTGAAACTTCTCCTCTCTAGGGTGCTGAACGTATGTTTGTTGTTGGTCTGCGACGAGCAGAACAATTTGTTCTCTTTTGCTATGAAAAAGAGAATTTCGATCATGGTTTGGAGTTCTTTCGTGTTAAGACGACCGTTTTTGTCTACGTCGAATATTTTGAAGCAGAATTTAACGCGTTCCGCAATGGGTCCCCTGCAAGCCGCAGAGATACCGCAACATAGTTCCTTGAAGTCCACGTGACCGTCTCCGTTTACGTCTAGGGCCATGAATAATCTTAAACAAAAATAGTCGTGCAACTGAAGCAAGATGCCTTTTATTATTTGATTTTTCTTATCATTTTAAAGTTAAGAACGATGAATGATTGGTTACGAATTTTTGTATTGTAAATAGCGTTTAATATAGTATTTTTTATTGGAATGTAGTAATAATAAAACATTAAAATGTTGATCAAATAAAAAATGCAAATATGTAAGCTACTTTTGTATAATTAAATTTTTGTTAATAAAACATATATTGTATACGAAGCGAAGCCATGGTAGGCAGTAATAAAAAGAAATTAAATCAGTTAGATGCATGTACGTTTGTACATACGTCAATTTGAGTACAGTATATGCCATTGTATGTAACACCTGTTAAGATGCTTTTTTTGCAATAATTGATAAATGAAGCACTTGTACTTTAAACAAATATAAATGCCTTTATCAGTAACCCACATGAAGTTATTGTTCCATTGGAAAAATTTTTAAACAAAATAACGCTTTAATCAAACAACATTGATGTTTTGTTAATTTTTTTAATGCTACCGTGAAGAAATTCCTTTATGAAAATATCCTCTTTTTTTAAACTTAATTATTAAACGGAAAACAGGACGGCCAAAGACCTAAAAAAAAAGTATGTGGTTTAAAATATAAAAACTTATAATATACCCCATTCGAACCTAGTATCTCTCTTTTAACTTTCGATATCGACTCTATTTTGAACCCTTTTTACGATGAAAGTAAAGTTATTTTTAAATTTGGAATAAATGTGGATAAGCACGATTTACAATTTTGCTAAATTTAAACACGATTTGATGCAGATATGTACATGTAATTGAGACTATTTCTAATCAGATAATAAAAATGCGGCACTTTTAGATTTAGAAGTGCCATATGATAGATAATACACTTACTGTAACGATTATAAACCTTACAGTAATAATATCAGACATTCTTCTTTTATTTTTTGATAGGCAGTGATTAATTGCCTGTATGATCTAAAAATATTGTCTTTATGTTTTTTTTAAATTCGTTATATCAATCAAACAACGAAAATCGTAATATTTGAAATGTTTACGTTAGTAGTAACAAATGGGGCATTTAACTCACCCTACGCATGCGCTGACGGGTACTGGAGGGCTTACAAGGGCGCTTATAGATTCTAGATCGAGTTGTCCTGTTTGAGACGAACTGGTTAAGGACCAGAAGCATTTCTCTAACTCGCAAATATCTTGTTCCTCGAGATGCGTCACTCCGGCGAGGGTCTGATAAAAAGTGGGAGTTTCTAACTCGGAACTCAGTGATACACATGGATTTGCCAGCAGCCATCTCGATAATATTGTAGCACTCTTGTTATACTGGATCCAGGCGTGGAAATGATCGAAACCCACTTTGTCCTGACCAATTCCGAATAAGGAACGTACTGTATACTCTATGTTGGGCTTATCAGAGCAGCACGTTGGCAACGTACCTGTGACATACAGTATACATATGTATATACATGTTTGTTTGTACTTTGACTTTATTTGCCTGGGTACATTACAAATAAAAAGATGATTACATATAAACAGTTTTGTCTACGTTTACATTATACAATATAAGACAAATAACAATAAATCGACACCAATTAGCAAATGTCCTAATTTAAGATTGTGGGCATGCTGAGCTGTTCTAAGTTAGTATAATAATAAAAACACATTTTTCTCAAGTATCGTGTATTTTATCCCCAATAATGAATGCACTTAAGTTATGCGCATAAAGCTGTGCAACGGTACCAGTAAATTCATTCTTACCGCAACAAATCCCAAGGTTAATAAAAAAAAAAACACATTAACATGACACGACAAAAAAATAAAAATCGCAAGATGAAATCACTAACTTTTTGTAAACATTATCTTCAATATTTCCAATAAATAAATACAATCTGTATCATGAAATAAAATAAGTTCTTTTTCTTTGAATCTTAACTTAACATAATGTAAAACCATGGGGGTATTTAATCGTATTCTATTAAATTAAATGTCTTTTGGAATTAAACACTATGCTGGCAAAAAACAATTACATAAGTAATTAAAAAAAAAAAAAACTGATATGCTACCTTCAGTTTGTAGAGCACTCATAAACTCATTTTTGGTGATGTAGCCTGTAGAATCGTTGCAGTAGAGGGTCCATAAGAATTTTATCTTTTCTTCTTGGGAGCCTTTTGTGAGAAGAACCAACCCGCAGATGAGATCTCTGAGAGCGATCCCTCGGGGGGTTCCACCGCACGCAGTGTACAGCCATTCTCCTATGGACACCGGTACTCCGTCACCAAGAACATTTTGAGTGAATGACTGCTTTCCTAACAACTGACCACCCCCAGTCAATCTCTTGAAGGCTTCGCACACCCTCTTGAATTCCACATCTGTCACTGTAGTAAAAAATAACAAGATACAGATACCACCCTGTTTATAATTGTCATGAATAATACAGAATGTCCCTTAATTATGTAATCTTTCTCGTGCCTTAAAAAATTTGACCATTAATACTGACCTAGTTGTGATAATTTTTGTCAACAAACCGTATCTAGTCTATTTACAGTTACTATCAGCTATGAATGGGTTTCTTTATTATTAAGCAGGCATCAAAAGGAACAGTTTTAAGAAATTGCAGTGGTAAAAAGTTTAATTTAACTAGTCCACAGCATAATACTTACAAATTGGGAAACAGTAATTGGACTGTTACGGTATAATTTTACATATTCAAATTAGTTGGTAAAACAGTAAGGGATCATATAAAAACGAGATAATGCACGGTAGTAGAGCCGCGGTATTTAGAAAAGTTATCAGAAGGAACAACAGATTATTTAACTCTGTTGAATAAGCTACTTGGTATATATTTACATTGTTTCCTAAAAAAGAATACAAACAAAAATTTGAGATATCATAATCACAGATACGTACATGCATATATATCTAATCAGACTATACCTCATTAGCTATCAAATTATCTCATAATTGCTTTAATAGAATAATTGCTGGGTTAAATGAAAACAAATGAAAATACTTTGCAAGGTCAACAGAAACGTTTTCAAAAATAAACACTAGCATGTCAGCAATTATGTACATTTAAATATAACTAACACAGATCGGTAGAAATAAAAAATATCACATGATTAAATAGGAAAATATAAAAAAAATGCTAACCAGGTTAGGTTTGACAAATAAAAATACCTACATAATTACAGGTGAATCTACTCACTTCGTTTAACGGCATCTTCATAGCTCAAACAACTACGTTTGGAATCTTTTGCACCCATCATACACGACAACAAATTAACTCGATTTTTACATTTTTACACAAAAATCTAGACAAAAACTAATCTGTTGACATTCACTTCTAGTATTTTAATAACCTGAACTACGTATATTTATGCAGCAGGAAATGAACAGGGAATACTCTTGACGTTATCTACCACTGCCAACCTTTCGACAGTGAATGTTTCATTACTTCCATTAGAAGACGTCAAAATTTGAAGTACTTGGTTGGCAACCCAAATTACATCTGTGAATATATTACTATCCAATGTACTCATTTGGGATGAAAAGGGCTAATCGTTTTCACTTACTACAAGTGCCTATAAATGGTACATAAGGGGTGTAAGAATATTCGGAGATCTTTTAAAGATATATACTAAATTTATTTGAGGTCAAAAAGACTTACAAGAGCTTTTGAAGACTGTTTTTGATGTACGTTGGAGCCTGTAAATATTTGCAGCCCGAAGGGCTAATAAAAGGTATTTGGGAGTCCCCTACAAGTAGAGAAAAGATTACATTGCTTTATTGTAAAAAACCTATTTCATAATTTCGCAATACATAGATAGTCTTTTCCTTAAACGTGGATGAATAAAAGACAATTAGAGATTCAAAAGTCCAATCAGTCTAATTGTGAGTTAATTGCTCTAACAGTAATAATAATCAATCGTAATTTTATTGCACAACCGTCATTTAAATCGTTATTATTAATATTATATAATAAAATTTATAAAAAAAACGAACTAATTCTTCTAAATAAAAGAGATATTAATTACTAATTTGTTTAACTAGAAGAGGCATTCGTTGGGTTCTGACTTAATTAAATTATGTACCGTCAAATGTTGTTTCACGTACCATTTGTCTGTGAACTTTTTATCGCAAATGTTACAAGAGAACGGTCTTTCGCCCGTGTGCGAGTACATGTGTCTTTGTAACTTGTCTTTAGCGGCGAAAGCTTTCGGACAATGTTCACAAAAGAACTTTTTAACTCTGACAGGGATCTTGGCGTTCCCGATCCCATGTACCTTTTTCAAATGTATCTCTAAAACTCTGTTATTCTTGTACTCCTTCTCGCAATGGGTGCACTTGAAAGCTCTAATGTTGGAATGGGTGTTGAAGTGCTGTTGCAAAACAAACTTGTCAGAGAACCTTTTATCACATAAATGACAGCCGAAGGGTTTTTCCCCCGTGTGTCTTCTCACGTGTTGGTCGTAATTCGATTTCATCGGGAATCGTTTGCCGCAATAAGGACAGATGTGGTTCCACTGACTTGGATCCGTGTGGACCACCAGTTTGTGTGTTCGAAGGTGCGTTTTGGTGTTGAAACTTTTAGAACACAATTCGCACTGTATATCGCGGGTATTGCTATGTAATTTCTCATGTGTTATCATGTCCTTTTTCGTAATGAATCCTTTTCCACAATAACTGCACATGTGTGTCCTGTTCCCGGCATGGTACAGTTTGTGTCTTGCTAGATGGGTAGAGGAGCTGAATTTTGCGTCGCATTCATCACAATGGTATGGCTTTAAAGTTTTTGCATCCACCCCGTGATCTTTGAGGGTATGCGCTGCTAATTTTTTGTAGGGACCTACGAATACGTTACAAATTTCGCATGTCAAGTCTGTCCTTTTGTGTTTCCTTTTTAAATCCTGTTGAGAACTTAAGCTTTTGTTATTATCTAGGCTCATTCCTGTGTTCTCAGTCTTGATGTCAGAGTCCGGTTGCGAGTCATCATCTTTCTTAAGTCTAAATTGTCTCATGGTGTTGCTGTGTCTTTTGATACCGTCGCACGTTGGAACGTGCATTCTTAAAACTCTTTCAGTTGTGTATTTGCGACCGCATTTTTCGCAAGAATATCTTTTCATTCGTTTTTTTAACATCCCCGTTTCTAAACCATGTTCTTTTCTCATATGATTTTCGAGCTTGAGCTGATTAATAAAGATGCTTGCACATATTTGACACTTTCTTGTATGCTGGGATTTTAAAGTGTGTTTAGAACGAATATGATTTATGAGTAGGATTCTACTGGTGTAGGATTCTCCACAGTGATAGCAAGTGTATGAACTAGTCGCGTTTGTGTGGTGCCTTCGTATGTGGGTGTCCCTGTTAGATTTGAAAGGAAATTTTTTGTTGCAATGAGAACAAACATATTTCCATTTTGATGAGTCAGCATGCTTTATTATCATATGACTGCTGAGAATTGAAGGAGTATTGTAGGACTGATTACAAATTTCACAAGTAAAACTTCTCTGATTCAGATGGATCAATTCGTGCCTGTAAATGTCTGCACTTCTTTTAAACTGCCGATCACAGAACAAACAGTTATAAGGTTTGTCCATTCCGTGTTTACTTTTATTATGCACTGCCAATAATTTTCGGTCTTTAAAGGTTTCATTGCAAATTTTACACACAAATTCAGAAAGAGAAGGTACCTGCTGCACATTAAGTTTTTTTACCTTACTTGAATGTCTATATGGATATTTGTGATCCACTTCTTGGTCCCTATCTTGATCAGAATTTACTGAATAATCATCCTCACTGTGCTGTAGGGCTTCGCCTTCATTACGAACTCCGATTTTTTCGTTTTCAAGTGATTGCTCTGTTGTTACCTGATATGAAATTACTTCTTTTGATTTTAAACATAGTTCTTTGAACTCATAGGCTTGATCTAATAATAACGCACAATTATTGCATATAGAATCATCGTTCCACTCCTGAAAAGCCTTTGCTTATTAAAAAAGCCTTCAAAAGAAGGTAAGAAATCAACTTACCACTTCAGGCACACAGAAACTTAGTTTTATAGAATAACTCAAATTATTTGAATCTACATCCACTGCACGTAACAAACAACTATCAGATTTGAGGCAAATTGAACACTCTTTTAAAATATTATCGTTTTTGTTCATTTTTCAAATCATCGCCTTCAAATTTTTTTGTAGGTTATTTCGATAAAAGTCAACAAAACTGACCTTGATAAAGCTGCTAATTCTGCGCCACCTTACGTTAACTAACTGAAACATTATGAAATACGAGGTATGGCTAAAAAGTTTTTAAATTATCAGGTTATGACAACTTTAATTATTATGAATAATGACAGCATTATTAATTAGATAAATGGAATAAAAACTAAATTCACATTTATGTATAACACACTATAATCTTTACTTACTTTATAAAGTAATAACCTAATGACAAAAACCGTTGTAAATGTAAAACATTTACCATACCACATATACGTAAGTTAGTATTCAAATAAACATAACCAATGTGTAGATTTTTCACATTTTTTCTTCATTTTTCATTTATATATTTTATTTAGTTTGTTTAGGTATTATTATAATACATTATTGTTCCTAATTTCAATTTTTTTCCAATTTAGCCAATGTTATTGTTGTATCTACACATCCGTTAAGATAATATTTCAAAAAAAGAAACGGAAATAACATAAAACCTGTTTAATAATTTACAAAAATTAAAATTAGCGGAATGAATAAATCATTCGTTTAAATAAATTATTTAGTGCAGAATATGAGAATTCCGAAATAACATTAAACTTGACGACTTGAAGAGATTTTGGTAATACCGAAACCACAACCACAACAACACAAACTGGAAATTTGTTTTGTGTACTTCACAGGTGAAACGTTTTAACATATTTTAATAATAACTTTAAAACAAAGTTGATAATCGTTTAATATTAGTGTTTTCGTGATTGCTTCTGTATTTTTGAAAGGTATGGTAATTTTATAAAATAATCTAATGTGTATTGAATAACTTAAACATTAGTTATTAACATCAAATATCCTTTATCATTTTGTAACATTTATTTATAAGCTCTTAATACTTTATTTTTCTTAAAGGGAAGTGTGTTCTCTTTGAATTACTGCCACATTTGAGAATAATATGAGTTTATTAAGTCGATATTAAAATTATTCAAATTAGTGCAGCACAGGTTTTGCTTCTTGTTGTGATTTTAAATGTCTCAAAAAGTGAAACGACATTTAATTGTACCTCGACGTCCTGTTTTAAAGTCTGAAGATCGCTACAAATTAATTGAGCCATGTAATTACCATAGTAATCTGATAAATAGTAGTAATCTTTTGGGATTTATAAATATGCACCCTATACATGAAGAACTAGTCTCTTCTGCTCCTACAAGCAATATCATTGACACTAAGAAAAAATCATTGACACAGGATAATGTAAGGAATGATCCTGGTGGGTTAAAAGGAGCTTTACGAGATGTTCTAGAATCTGAAGACAGCTTTGATGATCTGAAAGAAGAAGACAATAACAAAGTCAGAGAAAAAGATGAAATGATACTTACCATTAGTAGTGAACCAAAAACATATTTAAAGAAAGTAAACACAGGTGTTTCCCCTACAGACAATGTGTCTAATATAACCTATACAAGCGTAAAAGAGAATGTAGAAATCCCTTGTTTTAAAATAAATTCAGAATCAGTATCCAATAAGCAATCTAGCAAATTAAATGTTTTGCCAGTTGCTCGCTTGTTTACTCAGGACAAGATTGGTGGACTAAAAATACAGAAAAATGTAAAGTTTCTGCCTATGGTAAAGCTTAATAAAGACACAATGAAAATACTGCCAGCTGTTAAGCATTTAGCAGAATTAAAAAAAACAGGGAAAACTTTACTCAAAGCAGAAGTAAAATTAATAGCTAAATTCCCAGAACAGATTAATATTTCAAAGAATGCGTCATTAATAAAACCTGTTATTACAAAAGCACCTGTAGTTCAAACAACTAATTTAAAGGGCAAAAAAATCGTCATTGTTACAAAAAATGACAACATTATGTTAAAACCTTTAACATCTCTTTCAAATCCAAAGCCAATAATCCTAAAACAACCTGTAAAAAGTATGCAGATTTTAAATGACAGCAAAAAGCAAATTGGGGATTCGCAATCAAATATGGAATTCAAGAAGATTTTGTTAGTAGGTTCCAAACAAGTACAATTGAAAAATTTAAATTTGAAGACTGATAATGAAAAAAACAATGATAAGATAGTAAAAACCGTAGATAAAGTGAACTGTGGTAACCATGGTAAACATGCAGATAAGATACTCACTGAAGTTCCTTTAAAAGATCATTATAACACATTAAATGACATTGCTAAAGAAGACCTAAAACTTGACAACAACTTAGACAAAACGAATTGTTCAGAAAAAGAAAACACAGATTTTAATTTGAAAAACGTGTCAGATGTCGATTTGAGCAAAGAATTATTGAAAAGACGCTCCTCTAGTAATAATTTGGATAAAGATGGAGCAGAAAAAAAATCAAATGAACCAAATTATTCCACTATAATGGAAGCTAATCTATCAAAGGATGCTATTACAGAAATTATACTGGGTAAAAGTAGTCATAATCCACCAAAAAGTACATCTAAAGACGATATTGCCGTAGAAGCTGAAGAAAAAGATTCAAATACATCATCAGAAGTTAGAAACCCTAAAATTATTTCATCAAACGGTAAAAGCAAATATAATCAATCAAAAAGTACATCTAAACATGGTATTGTAGTAGAAACTGAAGAAAAAGATTTAAATACATCATCAGAAGCCAAAAAACGCTTAATTTCGTCAACAAATGATAATGATTTGTTTAAAAAAAATGAAAATAAAAGATTTCGTCTGTCTGAGTGCGTTAACCAAGTTGGGGAAAAGCCCGAAGAGTTAAGAGATAAAGAGAGTAGAGAATCTCTTGTTGGAGATAATGCCAGCGAAACAAATAATACTCCAGTTACTGATGATATTGGGCATTCCCCAACTTATCAGTATAACCATTTGTCTGATAAGGACGACAGCGTTGTTGAAAATCCCAAACAGATGATTTTATCCGATCTCGATTTGTTTAATAATGACTTGGAAAACTTTGACGAATTTTTGAATGATATGGGAAAGTTTGATAATTTTGATTTGAATATGCAGTCGGAACCGCTTTCTTTGAGTTCACTACTCATCAACGAGGATATTTCTGATGAAATAGTCAAGAGTGGAAATCAGGTGAAGAAAAATAAATTGCTCCATGAGCATCAGTGGCTCGATCCGTTTCTAACAGTAGCCAAAAATAAACCAAAGTACAAAAAATGGCAATTGATGTTCTTTCTGGACATGCAAAACTCTTTGAAAAAAGATTTTGGAGGAAATATGTAAGTGATAAGTTAATCAAATTTTAATAAAATAAAACGATGGGCTCTTGCTTAGATTTAGATGATAAACTTCATATTTTGTATAGGTACTTAGACGGCAATGATTTTTTTTAGCAACAAATAGATATTTATTAAAATTGAATGACCATATTTTTTTAATTAATTTTTTAAGAAGTAATAATTGTTTTGTATTTTAGGCCAATTCACGAAGCAGTTCTTAAAGATGATATGAAAACGTTACACAAACAATGTCTGGCCCTTACGGCAAGAATAAGGACTGTAGATGTAAGAAATAACGATGGTTCGGTAAGTTAATGTTACTTTTTTCAACTTCTTTTATTTTTATTGGTAATATAACAAAATAATGAATTTCGCCCTTCTAGACGCCTTTACATTTGGCAATTTTAAACCGAGTAAATCCGGATGTTATCAGCATTCTTTTAAAATTCAATGCGAGTGTTACTATAACAGATAACGACGGAAATAATGCGTTTCATTTGGCCGCATACAGTTCTGATGTTGAGTATGTTAGGCGGCTTTTGGAGTGTTCGAATGGACAACACGCAAGAAGTGATGTGACTAATTTTGACGGTAATTCTTTCTCCTACTCTTAATTCTACCGTTGACTAATTTATTTTGCTTATTCTCAGGATTAACACCTCTAATGATAAGCGTTTTAAATAATGACTATGTTATTGTGGAGCAGTTGCTTCTTGGAGGGTTTTCCCCGAATTTGAGGGATCAAAAGTCAGGCAGAACCGCGTTATTTCACGCTGTAGAGCAGAATAAGGGTAAGTAAGGACACTTTTGCTGTAAATCCCCGGTATGTTTGGTACTTCCCCAGTCCTATTGGCTGACGAGATGTTTTATTTATGGATTCACTTTCACTATTGTGCTTAACTTAGACTTAGTATAAATGTGTTTCTTACTTTATTGTATTTTAAAAATATTTACGTTTATTTTTGATATTTATAGAGAGATTAGTGAAGCTTCTTTTGTTCCATGGTGGCGATACAAGAATAGAAAACTTTTTCGGTGCATCAACTCATGATGCGGTGTATGAATTGAGTAATGTCAAAACGGGAATTAAATCATTAATTCATGAAAAGAAAAGACTTGAAAAAGTTAAAAAGAGCAAAAATAGTGGTAGTCCTAAAAGATCCTCAGTTAAGAATAATCAAAGATCGCCAGTGAATAATGAAAATAGCTCAGAAGAAATAGTTTATGGGACTTACGGTTCACAGCGTAAAAGATCTAAACTTGAACATGAAGATTAAGTTATTGTATAGTAAAATTTTGTCTCTTCGGTTATTATTACTTTGTATAATGTTGTAACGCTAAAAAACCGAATTTGTTGTATATATTGCTGATTAAAATAATAATTAGAGTTTTCGAACTGTTGGTATATTGTGGAAAGGTGTAAAAAGTTATCTATTTTGAAAAGCTGTAATTTGTTTTGGAATTTTAAATGAAGTTTTCTTGCAAAGTAATTGTATTAAGTGTGTAGTTAAATTAAAATTTTATATAGCATTATATACTAGTTTTTTATCATTTAAATGAACTACGCCTCTAATTTCTTCACGAATTATTAACAATTTGCTTATAACATGAAAGTACCGTTAGGTACATGTAAATTGAACAGAATTTACTACATGGATAATATCTGGCTGCTCTGTTTGTTTCATGTACCTAATCGCAATTTTTCTTTTGCGATAAAAGTTGTACACATTACATCTGTTTTCTTCACCTATTAATTAAGAATACATCTAATTGTTTTAAGTTTATATTGTAACTTTTAAATACATACTTTATCGTTATTTAAAAGCAGAAGTTATTGACCTAAAAGGTTAATGAACGTCAATGTATCATACACAGGTAATAGTTGGGTTGCCTAAGTACTTAAATTTGAAAATCTCTCCCCACCACTTCCACTTCTACCGTCACTTCAGTTTCCGGCACTGGTCAGAGGTCACGCGTTCGCGGATTAGGTAGGTTGTGCAGTTTGTGAAGGTGTTTAATTAGCAATTTAGTGTTCGATAAACGATATGAACTATTTATTGTCAGTAACCAATGATGACTATAAGGCCTTGGTAAGTTTTAATTGATTATTTTTGAGCCCAAGCTGGCGGCGACCAATATGTAGGTATCTATGTTGAACATTTATCTGCTCAACCTGAGTTAATTTGTTAGATTTTTAATCACGATTTGTCTTCGTTTCAATGTACAGATCATATTTTGACTTATTTTGATCAGCAAATATGAGAAGAGGAGATTTTAGCTGCAAATTTCAGTTTCTTTCTACAGGAGTTGGAAGTTGGAGGTGGAAGGAAGCCATTTTGTTACTCAGTATGCGTAGGTGACAATGACCGCTTTTTGCGTTAATTTGGCTATTTCTTGCCATAATTTTAATGTATAGAGGATATCTTTTCTTATTTTTATCTGCAAGTGTGGTCGGAACAGGTTTTAGGTCTAAATTGTAAAACTCTTCTAATAATAGGAAATGGTGGTAGAGGGGGAAATCGGAACATGGCTAATCAATTGCCTTTTCATGCGAATTCTCTTTAATTTACAGTATTTTTTATTTATTATTCTATTGTATTAGTATGTTATGTATTAGGAGTATACACATGTATATATAATACAAAATTGTCGTAAAACACCAATTAGTTTGGTGGTACTTGAAGAAGTACGTTTGAGATTTCGTCTACGTGATGTTTTATGATAAGTTTTCTACTTCACGGAATCATTTTTAAAGCTTCTGGTACTGAATATTAGTAGCACAGGAATTATGAAACCCAGGGAAAGAATGGGTGCTTCAGGGAATAAGTTCTAAAGTTCCTGCCTCTGAATATTGGCGGTTTAGGGATTCTGAAGTCCAGAGAATGAAAGAATACTTCAGGAAATAACTTTTAAAGTTCATTCTGCTGAATATTTTTAGGAACCATGAAGTCCAGGAAATGTAGGAGGATATTTCAGGGAATAAATTTTAATGTTCTTAGTTCTGAATATTAGTGGTTTAGGAACTATGAACTCCAGGATATCGAGGAGGAAACTTCAGGGAATAATTTTTAATGTGATTACTTCTGAATATTGGTGGTGCGGGAACTATGAACTCTAGGGAATGAGGGTATATTTCAGGGAATAAGTTGTAAAGTTTCTGCTTCTGAATATTTGGTGGTTTAGGAACTATGAAGTCCAGGATATGGAGGAGGATATTTCAGGGAATAAGTTCTAAGGTTCCTGCTTCTGAATATTGGTGGTTTAAGGAATCTGAATTTCAGGGAATAACTTTTAAAGTTCATGCTGCTGAATATTGGTGGTTTAGGAATTATGAAGTACCTACAGGGAAACGGGGGATACTTCGGGATTAAGTTGTAAAGTTCCTGCTTCTGAATATTTGGTGGTTTAGTAATTATGAAGTCCAGGAAATGGAGGAGGATATTTCAGGGAATAAGTTCTAAGGTCCGTGCTTCTGAATATTGGTGGTTTAAGGAATCTGAACTTCAGGGAAAAAGGGGATGCTTCAGGGAATAACTTTTATAGTTCCAACTGTTGTATTTTCGTGGTTTGGGAATTCTGAAGTCTACAGAATGAGGGGATACTTTAGGGAATAACTTTTAATGTTCCTGCACCTGAATATTTGTGGTGCGGGAATTATGAAGTCTAGGGAATGTGGGTATACTTCAGGTAATAATTTTTATCGTTTTTGCCTATTTAAATCTGGCTTTCATTCATTACTAGTAGGGTGTAGACATATTAAAGTCAAGCACAAAGATTCTTAAGTTTGGTGACGGATTGGTGCATTTGGCAACAATGCCTGTTTATTATTTATCACATAAGCACATTTTAACGATGTTAACGTAAACATCAAATCTCAGAGAAATGCGGTCAGAGATAATACAATTGCGATAAAAACAGAAATAATATTCTTGTTTTTTTGGTTATAATAGAAGAGGCATATGGCATTACGTTGTACTGCATAAGACAATACTTTTCTTACATTCCTGGTAATACCTGTCCCTTCTCCACACATTTACGAATCATATCAGTTGCTAGGAAAATGCTCGGAATTCATAAATAAGTACTTGACGTCAGTTACAACCATTGATAGATAATAAAGTGAAGTATCAATACAATTTGGTGTGTTGTTTATCATTCGAAAAAGGTTATTAGAAGGAAATAAAACAAGAGAAAAATGCAGTTCGCAGGGAAAGTTGTGTTGATAACTGGAGCCAGTTCAGGCATAGGGAGTGCGACTGCTAAACAGTTTTCGAAAAAAGGCGCTTCGTTGGTGTTGGCCGGGAGAAATGAGGAAAATCTGAACAGGGTAGCATCCGAGTGTGTGGCGGAAAACAGCAGCTCTCAACCGTTTGTTGTGACCGGCGAACTGACCAATGAAAACGATACGAAAAACATAATCGAGTCGGCCATAAAACAATTCGGCCGCCTCGATGTCCTCGTCAACAGCGCTGGAATTCTAGAATCGGGAACCATAGAGAACACGTCGTTGTTACAGTACGATCGCGTGATGAACGTGAACGTAAGATCAATTTATCATTTAACAATGTTGGCGGTTCCGCATCTAATTAAATCGAAAGGAAATATTGTCAATGTCTCAAGTGTTAATGGAATAAGAGCATTTCCCGGCGTTCTTGCTTATTGTATGTCGAAGGCGGCCGTGGATCAGTTCACTAGATGTACTGCTTTGGAATTGGCGTCGAAACAGGTGCGAGTGAACTCTGTAAATCCTGGAGTCACCGTCACAAATCTTCACACGAGAGCCGGAATGGGTCCGGAACAGTATCAGGCATTTTTGGAAAGGAGTAAAGAAACTCATGCTCTGGGAAGGCCAGGAACACCTGAAGAAGTAGCCAGAACTATCGTATTCCTTGCTAGCGACGATGCCAGCTTTATTACTGGCGCGTCAGTGCCCGTAGATGGCGGCAGACATGCCATGTGTCCACGGTAGACGCCATATTGCGGATGATGCGTTGAAAAACACGATTTTCTCACTATATAATGTTTTGTGATCCACAATATTTTTGGAAATATATTTGTTTCATTTTCATCTTCTTCTTTTTTAGATGTATACATATTTTCTAATGTGTATTGAATAACTTAAACATTAGTTATTAACATCAAATATCCTTTATCATTTTGTAACATTTATTTATAAGCTCTTAATACTTTATTTTTCTTAAAGGGAAGTGTGTTCTCTTTGAATTACTGCCACATTTGAGAATAATATGAGTTTATTANTAAAAACTCTACACTAAAAATTTTCATTTGTTTTACCCCGTTGACTTACCCCAGTAACACATTTTGAATCCCGTTGTAACGAACACACTTTCATAACACTGGTGTAGGTGTACTTTGTATGTATTTAAATATTTATTAAAATTGCTTACAGAAAAAACTTCGTACAATTACAAAATACAACAGAAGATAATAATAACTATCACTTGGTGAATTTTCCAAATAACTACCATTAACTTTGATATAAGCAGTAGTATTTATTTTATTATTAAATTTGTTTTGTGAAGTACAGTTACACAACGAAAAAAAGGACATAATACATACATGTATATACAAGAATAATAAAAAAAATGCAAATGCGATCCCTAATAAGAGTGATAAATTAAAAAAATAATAGTAAGGACGTATGAGGAAGTCGAATTAATGTTGTCTTTTTTAATGAGAAAGAATACTGACAAATAATGTACTACCATAGTGCCAATCTCAGGACAAAATACATGGAAACGGCCTGTAGTATTTTTCCTGCCCAGTACAATCTGAAAAAAAAATAGAAATATAAACTATTTATTAGGGATGATATTGTAGCTACAGGCACGGCAAAACGTTCACAGCATATAAAAAATATGCATTTATTTGTCGGCATTTTTCTGGTTCGATACACAGTCGATGCAATACTTTTTTGCATAAAATAAATTGACATTTTGTACAATTAATATATAGTATACATTAGTACGACGAATCTGTGACCTGATAAGTACGTTTTGTTACTGCTGTAGCTGTCGCCTTTTGTAGTGCACTGATCAGAGCACTGGTACGTGAAGCGAAAGGTCCCGGGTTCGATTCCCGGCGAGGGTGTGACAGCAGCAACAATTTTTCCTCAATAATTTGAGGTAATTCATAGTTCAGTTACAGTTAATTAAATCAATTCTTACCTGCTGAGTTTGGCTTTAGCTTGAGGGAGGGAACTTAAGTCGTCTTTGAGGATGTATTTCCTAATTCCCAGGAGGTAGTTTTTGACATAGGGGTCCCAGGAGAATCCACCTTCTGGTCGCATGTCGACCGTGAAGTCGGCGCCGTCTTCGCTGTTTTCAACTGCGTCTAACAAACTTTGAAATGTTGGTGTGTGGAAATTGAATTCATGTAAACTGAAAAATTCGCCAGTTTTCGCCATACGTTGGAACAATCGGCAGGCTTTTACCATCCTACAAGATATAAAATAATTAAAAATTTGTAGGAAGGGGCCTTTCCTGTAGGATGTGAATAGACATCCGGGAGGAAAACCTGGACAAGAAGGTATTTTGGTACACTTACATCCGTTTCCTCTTTGTAAAAATACAAAGGTGATCGAAGATGTAAGCGGGAATTGTTTGAACAACAGTTTGTATCATTCTGTGTAGTATCCTGTTGGTTCTGTAGGTGAATCCTGGATACAGGGTGACATATTTCGTAGGATATTGCAGCGAATAACATTCTGTAATAGTTCCGTATTTTTTCCAGGAAACTGGGCTGATTTGACCAGTGGTGCAGTTGTACACTCTCATGGAATTCGACCTGTAAGAAAAGTACAATTTCGGTGAGTCTTTTTTGAACGAAACATTTTTTATTTTATTTACCTGTAAGCGGTTGTATGCCAGGCGGCAGTTATCAACGTATTTGCAACTACATCCACTGGTATCAGGTCTACCACGAGGTCTTCTTTACAAATTATGCTTTTGATTGTTCCTCTACTGACTTCTAACATTATCCCGGTGATACCACTTACGTTATCGACCCATCCAGGGAAAGGTTCTTTCCAACTTGCTGTTACTGTGTACAAAAATAATCAATTAGACACATATATGTAGGTTTTACGCGCGACATGCATCATTTGCCTTATGGTCAGCTGTACGTACGAAGTACAATCGGCAATAAAACAAATGTACCTCCTTATTAAAAATTTGTTTTCTCACTTACCAATTGAGGGCCTCACAATAGCGCAGGGGATGTACTCTGAATATTCTAAGACTATTTTTTCTGCAAGGGATTTTGTAAACGTGTAAGTGTTTGGGTGGTCTCCCTAGACAACAAAAAATATTCTGTTAATATTTTGGGACTTTTGGGTTACTTTTTTAAATTATTACTTACGATTAATTTATCTGTTATTTCATCTAAAATATTTTCTGGAAGGGCATCGATACAGTTAAGAAGGGCTTCAGGGTCTCTAGTGGGGTTGTAAACGATTTCTTGGATATCGCGCTTGTCAGCGTTGCTGTACGCGGTAGATACATGAATGAAACACTAAAATAATTAATAATTTATTAGATAAAGAAAGTAAATAATTGTTGCAATTTATATGATTCATCGCGAGGTAGTTAAGGAAAGGTGTTTTTACAGTTTTTTTAAGGTAATTACGGGTACGTTTAATTACATAACTGCTACCTTTCAATAAATATGCTAATTATCGAGGTAGAAATGAACCCATTATTACCTGCGTGAAGTCGAATTAACGGATAAAAAAATAAAACAAATAATTTTGTTGAATGTTTAAATATGATAGGTATGCAAAATATTCGTATTTTGTTATCTGATTTTGCCTTTGCTTATTTCTATTCAAAAATTGAAACTTAAGTAACACAGCGTCTATAAAATAAATAGTTTTAAATAAGGCATTTTGATCTTCTGTTTTATCTAACTCATGTTCGTGGAGAGGTTCATGGTTGCAACCACTACTATTAGTGATTGTTTATTGTTATTATTCCGTACTTAATAAAACACAAACAGTTCGCCACACGTCATTAGAAAGCTGCATATGTATATAAAAATTGGAAATAGGCGCTCTAGATTTTCACAGCCAACGCGGATATATGTGTAGGTAAATCTAGAGCGAATTTATATGTACTGGTACATATGTGTAAAGTAGATGTATGAAGTAAATTACCTCATTAAGAATTTCTACAGGTATACGTATTAATCAACAACAGTAAAAAAATACCAGGATTAGAAACCTGTGCAGAACTAGTTTACTTTAATGTCATAAATGAGTTAAATATGCTCTGTTTCTATTGTTTTCTACAAAATACTCTCGAAAACAAAAACTTTTCTTTGTTTAATTCTTACGTCAGCAAAATAATTTATTATGATTTGACTGAAATGATACGACAAAAATTCTCATCAGTTGCTGTTAAGAATAGTGCGTAATATTTTCAAATATTTCTAACTCTATATTAATTAGAATTAACATTCTATCAGAATGTTACCAACAAAATATTTATACAAATTAGAGAATGTGAAACCTTATTGAATATTTATAGAAAACGTGTCTGGTATTTGCGGTAAAGTGTAAAAATTTATTTTTTGTTGCGTGACGCTAGTATACCATGAATGAATGAACGAAATAGATATATTTTTACCTTGAGGTTCCTCATGGCTTTGCATACGTCTAGAACCCTTTTTGTTGCAAGGGTGTTAAGTGTTAGGGCATCTTTCAGGTTTTCGTGAAATCTGAAATCGAAAAAGTTCCCGTGTTATTAGAATTTGAAAAAATGAAAAAACTTAGATCGTAGTCTTTTACCTGACGGTTGCTGCCGAATGGAAAACTAAATTGACTTGTTGAATTAGGGTGTTCCTGTCGTTAGCTGAAAGGCCTAACCCTGGTTGACTCATGTCTCCGGGAATGAGGTAGATTTTGGAAAATATTTCTGGATTTTTTTCCCGAATTCTGTCGAACACCTTTTGTAATAAAAGAATAAGAAAATTTAAACTAGATTTATACCAAAATTTATTTTTTTTGGAAGAGTAACTATAAAAAAGCCACCCTGCTATTTATTCAAAAATATCTACTGTCGTTTTCTTACCGGGTTTGCTATCAGTTCTTTGAGTCTTTGATCACCTTGGTTGCCCTTTTTGGGCCGCACCAACAGATAGACCTTGTCCAATTGGTAGCAAGTCCGCAGAAGTTTTTCCAGCAGTGCTTTGCCAACGAACCCGGTTCCTCCGGTGATGAAAATCGTTGTATCTTTATAAAATTCGGCAATGTTGTTCATCGAAACATCCTTCATACTGTTGTTGTTTATTTCTATGAAGGGTTGTTTCTTGTGTAACTGTTTCGGTGCACCCATTGTCTCTTCCAGGAAGATGTCCTCGATTGTAAGCGGTTTCGGTTCGGAAATTACGTCAGACCAAATCGGAGACATAATAGGGGGCCTGGGAACAAAAAAGGGGATTGACTAATTACTCAATCGATGCATAAATAATTTCATGTCTAAGAAGTGATTTTTTTATTGTTTTCAAAAAATTTTCGTGGTTTATTGATCGTTTTTGCTTCAAAAGTTAATAGGTAATTAAAAATTATCTTTATTACCTTGCTTAACTTTACAAGTAAAACTATAGGAAACGTTTTAGTAGGTTTCTTTTGCAAAATATACTTTGACTGTAAATAATTGTATATAAATAAAATATTTGTTGAATGACGTCTGTCACAACTTCAATATTTCTCTTGATAAATACTCGTATACAGGGTGTGTCGAATTGTTAGAGTAACTTATCTTGTCACAATTACTTACTTCAAACTACTGATGCATTCGTGGTGAATACTTTGTATTAAAAGCACGCACGTCAGAGGAATTAGGGAAACCGTTGACCATTATTAGTTTTCCGAGTAACGTAAAGCAAATAATTACATGGTGCACGGAAATCTATAGCGCCATTGTACTCGGGATCTTCGTAAATATTTGATCCGATACTTCACGAAATACAAAAGTCTATTAAATAACTTATTTGTAGTTTACGTTTGTTAGCGGATATCTCTGTAGATATCTATTATGCAATCAATAGGAATTGTTTTTGAAATGTACCTGTAGGGCGGTAGGTATGAAATGTTTCAATATTGTACACGCTTTTTGTGTACAGGATGTTTCGGACTTGTGAACAAAATTTGTGACCACCTTGGGTCAAATTAAAAATGCTTAAACCTGGTACAATAAAATTTGTAATACAGAAAAAGATAGAAAAGGGAAATTCGTAGATCTGGGGAAAGCTTGTGACAATGTTAAATGGGAAAAGATGTTAATTGTACTTAC